TTTTTTTAACCGTAAAAAGGTTTTAAAAAAGTGACAAAAACCAATGAGTGTATAAAAACGATCCTGCAGTCAAAAATACAACTGTAAGACCTTTATATGTGTTTGAAATGTAGATAAACTATTGACTGTTCTAAAAAGAGACCACCTGTGACTTGAAAGCTGTCTCTAGGCTACTAAAATCACCTCATTTTCTGTCTCTTGCGTTGTATTCGGTACAGCAGTGCCGGCGAACCATGTTCACCTCCCACTGTGAAATGCACAATTGAAAATCTCAGAAAAAAAAAGGTTAGAAGAAGTCAAAGTGGAGCCAGAGTTGTATTCGTAAAGTATAAAGTTCAGTGATTTGCTCATTTGAAGTGCGACCTTCTGATGCTTTGATGTTTTCAGTCTTTTTTTTTTTCTTTTTCTTTCTTTTTTCAAATAAATTAAACAAAGACAGAGGCTGTGACTCAGAGTTGGCTGTGCTTCAATCACATGCCTTCTTCCCTCAGATGTTTGAAAGATGAAAGTAATGAAGGGCATGTAGGTGGGCAAGCAAACTTTTGATTAGCCAATCAGCACCACGGCTTTTCTCTTTTTCTGAAAATCTGTCAGGTGTTTGTAATGCTCTCACATATTTAGTGCTTTATTAGTCTTGCTGACCACTCAGTCACATTTTAAATAGCCATGGATGCAGGCTGTAGCAGACATCCGTGGCCAATTTAGAAACACCAATTGACCTAACATGCACGTCTTTGGACTGTGGGAAGAAGCCAGAGTACCTGGAGAGAACCCACAGAGGCACAGGGAAAACATGTCAACTCCACACAGTGTCCGCAGCCAGCGTTTGAACACAGAACCTTCTACTTTGTGAGGCGACAGCTCTTACCACTATACCGCCATGTGATTGGTGTGCACACAGAAAAAGAGAAAAATTATTACATAGGCTGAGAACAAGTCAGCCAGTCCTCAGTTTTGAGATGGAACCAGTAAAATCTGCGTTAAACATAGAAAATAAGTGATAACCAATGGTGAAGGCAGCAAACTCCTACACACAGCTGCTCCAGGAGCAGTGACAGATAAACATGAAGACTGAAAACAGCCAGGCAATCTTGGCATTATCTTTCACACAGACAACTCTGAACCACAATCGTCAGTAAGAAGGGACACCTTTTAGGAAACTGAAGAGAAAGCATGATTTGGCAATAGTCTGGCAGAAAATAGATCTTCCTCTACCATTCTGACCTACACAGGACAAAATCCCATAGAAACATCGACAGTAAAATAAAATGAAAGAAAAAAAAAGATCTTAGAGGATCAGAAAAGTTGGAACCTTTCTAATCCTCACGCAACATGAGGCAGTCTGCTCATGTGAATACAGTCATTTTGATGGAAAGTAATTTTAGAAATGGAGCTATGCTGTATTATGTATTATGTGTATAAATACACACTTGAATATCCATCACATCACCTCTGAAATCATGAGGAAAAAGTGCTCTTCTGTTGGTTTTGCTGGCAGATATGCTTTAAAAAAAGAAAGAAGATTTTCTTAAAGTTCATGTGTAAATCTGTAAGTCAGGATACATGCCTGTATCGTTTTCCTTCTTTAAGGACTCTTACATAACAAAGACTCAGATACAGGCTGCGCAGGATGGAGTTTCCCAGTGTTGAGCTTGAGCCACCAATTGCTCTGTGCTATCTTGTTTTCCATTTCTTCCGAGTTTATGTTTGACCTTAAGAGTGGAGAGACCATCTACTGGCAAACAGTAGAAGAAAGCAATTTCTTACCTCATCCATCCCTCCTTAAGAGACAGATGAGAGGTCTGTGATACCCTGTGTAAAAGGGGAAGGAGGAGAGGGCTGGTCTGATATCAGCAGGCTGATGACTGGGGCAGTGGTAGCGCCCGTTCGTTCTTTCTGACCCCGTTCATGTGTGCATAGGGTTGTATCTCATCAAAACTGGGCCGCAGCACCACGACAGGCCCGTTGGCCGAAGCATGTCCTGAGTGCTTGTCCAAGGCTAGTCCTGGAGACGCCAAGGCTGAAGCAAGTGGGCCGGGAGGAGAGTTAGAAACAGGTCCCAGTAATGGCGTACTCGGGCCTTGCATGGGGGATAACTGATGCGTAGAAGGAGGAGACATGCCTCCTGCACACCCAGACGAGGAAATGACAGCAGTCGACGGCTGCCTCACGGATGAAGGGTCCAGTGGAATGTTCTCCATGTTTTCTACCTCCATGTCCAGCTCCTCTGTGTCCGGCGGCTTGTTCTCCTCGCTGTAGAAGAAGCTCACTTCCCTGAAGGGAGGATCCAGTTCGTCTTTGATGCTGCTGATGATCTCCAAGAAGGACGGACGCATCTTAGGGTTATACTGCCAGCACATTCGCATCAGTTCAAACCTGAAAGATAAATGACAAAATCATCATTTTTGTCATTTCTGTGTAAACATTTCTCACACACCAGCTTGAACTGACAAACAGAAACTTCTTAAACTGCAACATATCAGCAAACTTTACAACCGGTAAGGACAGGAGGGATGAAAACAGCATGTGGCCCTGTAAGTCTTGTTTCTGTCCAGCAGGTGGCAGGAGAAACTGAAGGCCCCTTTAGGGCTTTTTGGCACTACAACTCAGTTCATAACACTGATCATGAAGAAAGAACAGAGACTGTAATATCAGCGTTGGTAAAGTGTGCTACACTAGATTTTATGCTTCAGTTTTTTCTTTAAAAAAAAGAGAAAAAAAAGGATGTAGTTATTGTAAATACCCGTCCTTACCACTTGTAGCTGCTCATTAATTCGAAGCAGGTTTGTTGGCAGGTAATCTTGGTGAGCATGCCTTCTCTTTAAGTACTGTCCCGTAAAATTATATAATTAAAACCCTGTAAGACTGTGGCCAAAAGACTAAATATATGTGTGCGCGTTCCAAAGTTGCTGCAAGCTACAAGGCTTTCAGTGGCAATAATATAGTAAGTAAATCCACAAACTATTTTTATGCCAGTTCAATTGTTTTGAAATTTTGCCGTTTTTTTTTTTTTCTTCTATTTTGGGGGTTCCGTTTGTTTTTTCTTTTTAACAACAAATACAGTAAGATCAGAAATGTAGCATGCACTCAGCAGAACAGTAAATCATACTTAAGGTTACTGTGCCAGGCCAGCAACCGAGCTTTGGGAATGTCAAAACAACATCATAAACGGGAGAATTATTACAGTTTTGTGTGGTGCTGGACCGCACACCACAGCTCCAATTATACACAAACAAGCTCAGAATACTCTCTAAGGCCCGCTGACATAAACACCTTGGCCATCGCTGCTCCGTTCTTGCTGTTCCCTCTGTCTTGTTTTTCCTAGTGGTCTCTTTGCCATCTAGAATAACCTCTGCAGCTGGGTGCCAGCTCCTCTCCGCGCCAGAGGAATTATGGGTAAAGCTTTCTTAAGCACGTGCCTCGCTTCATGCTCTGAAGCAGCAGGGGGCGGCTCAGACTTGTTTTGCACATGTGCAGGAAGTGTCTCAAAGTTGACGTTCAGATGTCCGAGCTCGGGCAAGCAAGGACCACCCGTGAAAAAGGCGCACGGCGTTTGGAAGTAAGGCCGATGCACCAGAGTAACCCGTCTGCTGCAAACTTCCGACACCGTCTCGCACGAGGCTTCTTGATGCAAATTTAGAAAACAAACACTGTAAATCCTGACTTCTTGTCAGCATCCTGCCAATCGTGACCCACAGGCCACATGCTTTGGCTAAACTGACTAACATTGGACCTGTGAGCAACACAAAACAGATTACATGAGCTTTACTTGCACTGCATTAAAACTCCACTTGTTCTTTAGCTGTTTTTTTTCCCCCCCCGAATCACTTCACATTCAAATTTGAGTGCACCAAATGTGCTGTATAAATACAGCTGAGCAGCAGCTATTAAGTTACTGAGATGGCGGCTCGGATGGTTTGCCTAGGGTCTGCTTTTTTGTTTCTGTTTTTCTTTATTTGCTCTGGCTGATTCGATATCTTTGCTTGGCTGTATGTCTGTATCTGTATTATCCTGCGAATTTGCCATCTGCACGGTATTAAAATATAGTGAGAGCTCATGTGTGTTAACGTACTTGGCCAATAAACCGATTCTGACTTCACTGTCCGATATACTGTATAAGGACGGTTACAAGCAAATATGACATAGTCAGTGTCAGAATTATAAGAAAATCTTCACTGGCCTGGATAAAGCCAAATATTCACAGAAGAGATGGGCCAACAAAGCTTGATAAAAATCAGAAACAGACGCAATTTCAGGCCAAGTGTGAGTGCAAAAAAGTCTCCAAACATCTATGCTAAATGCTTAATAAACCTGAACAGGAATCCCTGCCAGATCTGAAAAACTTCACACGTGCAACCTCCCCGGCGTGGCAAAACCTTGACGGATAATAGCGTGTAAGTGATATTCCACAGAAAAATAATGATGTTTAATTTAGTCACATTTATTTTCCAATTCTGAAGGAGGAAAAGCACTTTTATCTCTGGGAAACTCTAGACAGAAACATGAGAATAACAATCAGTGACCAAAGCTACCTGGGAAACAAAGGAAACAGTACAAGTAGGAGACATTTAAGGCTCTCGAAATATGACTCATCCCTGTTTGTGTTAACCTGCCCACTTCCACTTCTTCTGTATCTTTCTATTCAGTCTTTGTATGAACTCTCTGGCTTCACTGCACTTGGGCAATCTTCTGGAAATCTCCATTAAGTCACTACAGCAGAGGCGACCATCGACAGTGGCCTGACTTCCATGTGTGCTGCTAAGCCCCGACTCCACCACCTCTGTAACACAATCCACACACTCCTGTAATCAGGACAAAACAGCCACGCTGCCATAGAAACGCGAGGTTTGTGTCTGCACAACACTTGATCCTCTTTTTTCTTTTTTTTTGCTACTCACACTCTTTCTAAGGTGAGGTCAGCCGTGGAGAGTGGGAGGGGAGAGAGCAGAATGCCTTCTTATTGAGGTCAGAGACGGAGAATCGAAATGCATGTATGCAGCGCTGCATGCCGACGAGCAGGCTGTGCTCGGGCTTTTCTTTCCCCTCTAACAGCCAAAGTGTTTGATTGATTGACTGATTAATTTAAAGTTAAATAATGATAACTTTCTCATCCACCACGCTGACAGACAGGCACTACCTCCCTCCGTAGTAGGAATGAGGGGCATCTTTCACACACTGATTGTGGCATCCCTTCTATGGGCCGGCGCTGAAGGCTGAGCAGGGTTCTCACTGCCAGCTGACCACTGAAGCTATGTCGTCAACGGACCACATTTATCCTGTGACGTTAATGTCGGCCCTCGTCCTGGCTCTACCTTAACTTATACACACGATATCCTTCACACTCAGAGCCACAACTTAAAATAAAACAGGGCAAAATATTAATAGGACAGAAGACATGGGTGGCTGCGGCTGTAGAGGATAAAATATCCTTCATAAATCCAAGCTGATGTTACTTATTTTTATTGTTCTTAAGGGCAGGGTCACAGATTTGAAAAAAGAAAGACTTACAGCATGTCAGGGCAGTTGTCAGGTTTGTCCAAGAGTCCTCCCTCCATGACAAAGCGCAGCACTTGTTCATTGGACATCCCCTGGTAAGGCTGTTCAGCTAAGGTGGCGATTTCCCACAGCACGACACCAAATGACCTGCAGCGAGAAATTAGGCAACATATTCAAGTAATATATTGTGGTATTTTATGTGATGCTCTTTCGGCTTTCACAGTAAACGTTTATTTTAACCATCGATCAAGCACACATATTCTTTTATTGCTTAGGAATAAACTTTACTTTGAAGAGCCTATCCTACATCATCGCTCTTAAATTTGAAAGAAATTACATCCATTATGTTAGTGACTAAATTGTTATCAGGGTGACCTGAAAATGCCTCACCAGTAATACTTGGTAACCATCTAATAAAAGCAAATAAAACTCCCTCCGCTCAAAATTGAGCTGCACTGTTTGCATACAAACAATAAGTACAAATCATATTTTTCATATATTCCTTTTTTAATAAGAGCCACATATGGTGCTTGTTTGAGAGCTGTGGTGCTTGAGATGTGCATAAATGTCCAACCTAAACAGAGAGGAATATTCTAGTAATGGTTTTAGAGGGACTAAATGTCAAACAGCCTGACTGACTGATACAGAAAAGGTAATAAATGCCTTTTAATATACAGAAGAGGGAAAAAAACTGATGTCAGCATGATAACATGCACACAGTGACAGGCTGATGCTAGGCAGGTATCTGATTTGGCGTGCTCTGTGCCTTAGTTTATTGTGTTAAGTTGGTGAGATTTACTGGAATGTAGTCATTAAAAAATGTATTAGAAGATTGAAAATTCTGATCTCGTGATGAAGCAAGATGAAAAGGCAGAGAAAGTGGCTGTAAAGCAGTAAGTGGGATTCATCTCCTGGGTGCAGTGAATGTCTGAACCAAATTTAATCTAAGGCTAACCGATAGTTTCTGACTTTTTGTTCTGTCCGTGTTGGACTGAAATACTCTCACTGCCATCCATCGATCGCAGTACTAACAGCGCACAAGCTGAGCTGACACTGCTGACTTTATTTCAGGCTTCATTTTTTTTCTTTTCTTTTTGGAGTGTGTCATGTATTCTTAGCTCATATCTGTCCACAAGTTCCCCATAAAGATGAATGCTATTTTAAATATTGCAACTTTAAGTTCCCCAAATAATCTGCACTAGAATCCAAAATGAGCGCAGGATGTCGGAGAGCTGGTACTGAGCATTTACCCTGCTTCTTATTTTAACTTCATGACGTGTGGCACGGTATGTTGTAACACAGCTTACATGATTACAATACTGCAGGAAAAACCTCAGCATGAAGTATTTCTTCAGTTTAACTTCAAGACTGCCTCGCGATGACCACAATATTTGTTTACTGTACTACTTTGGCTAGCCAAATTTTCAAATGGTATGCTTAACTTAAAAACAAAAGAAATAAAAAAGGCCTATTACAATACTGCACACCAGGATCTCAAACAGTCACCTACTCATGATGACATCAGGGTTATCTTACACTAAACGTCTTTACAACATCAAAGGGGAGGATATAGTACACAAATTGTGGAGGTGTGTTTGTGCTGGCACGGCAACCTCTCATTTAAAGACATCTGGAGCAGTTTAAGCCCACTCTTAGGGACTAACCCGTGACATTTGGGGAAACAAACATGCAGGGGGTTCTAGTAAACAGTAGTAAAACACAGGAAAAAAGTAGCAGTGCTGTAGGCTGGGAATCTACGAAACAGTGGAATAATAGAGTTGTCAGTAAATGGAAAAAAAAGAAGAAGAGGAATACTCCTGGCCTGTACTTTTTTGCCAGGAATTTCCAAAGAGGCAGCCAGAAAACCAAAGGTTTGGATGCTTTTGGAAACAGTAGTCATGATTTAAAAAAAAAAAACTAAAGTAGAAAATTATCATAAGAATATATTATCTAGTTTTTTGCCACAGCATGAACTGTTTTAGAGTATACACAAGGACAAAAAATATTGAGGTGGTTATGGAAAACTTAGCATCTTTCTGGATTTAAGGAGGTTCATACAGGTCTAATGTAGGGCTGCCACGATTAGTCGACTAGTCACGATTACATCGACTATCAAAATCGTCGACGACTGATTTAATAGTCGACGCGTCGTTTGAAGCTTTGTAAGATCCCAAAAGACGCAGGAATAAGTAGGATTTAAGAGTGTAATAACGGACTGAAACAGAAGATGGCAGCACTGCATGTACAAGGATGCCAGCTGCCGTTAAACCCCGAAGAAGAAGAAGAAGCTGTGTCCCAGAATTCATAGCTTTCCAACAATGGCGGCAGCTAGTTAGTTTTAATATTACTCTTATTATTCTTTCTGGGTCACAAAATAAACGTTTAGCATATTTTCAGGTGAGAATGTAGCTGTGTAAACCTCAAATATCGGCTCAGTTTATCAAGACACAACATGTTTTCAAAAGCGCTCCGACGTTTTCGGAGACGTCTGTTACCCACTAGCTCGATAGCTAGCCGGGGTTACAGGCTCACTAGAGCCGGTGAGAACACCGGAAATCGTTTTCAAACCCACTCAGGTGAAACATATATAAGTGACTTAGATAACTTAAAAATGTTATTGTTTGGCTTTTTTTAGTATTTTATTTGTTCCTGAGTAAATCGGTTTGGCTGAGCTTAAAGTTCTAGTTTTTACACAGCTGAATAAACATCAAGCAGACAACTGATTATCAGAAATGTGAGATGCTCGAGAATATACTCCGGTGTCCTGTTATATTTTAGATAGCAAGGAGTTTATTAAACTTCACCGAAACAATCTGCAAATTTCATTAAAATTTAATAAACTATCATCTTGTCTTTATTTTTAGTTAGCACATACCTTAAACACTTAAAACTGTAAGCTAATGATAGTTATATAAGAGCAGATGCTGCTGGTGCAATAAGCTGTACATCCAATGGATGCATGATCTGATTAGCCGACTAATCGCAAAAATAATCGGTGACTAGTCGACTATCAAAATAATCGTTTGTGGCAGCCCTAGTCTAATGCAGGCTTGTGTATATGTAAGAGTGATTTGCTGCCGTACCAGACATCAGACATTGTAGTAAACACGCCATCTTTCAGTGACTCTGGAGACATCCAGCGGACAGGCAGCAGGCCCTTTCCTCCTTTTCGGTAGTAGTCCGTCTCATAAATATCTCTGGTCATGCCAAAATCTGGAGAAAAAAAAATGAAAGCAGAAGTTGAGGAAGCCACTAAGTATCACTCATTATGTGTGGGAGAGGAAGCTCCAGAGAGCTCATCTATCCCTCTCACCTCTTCCCTCCCCTCTGTCCATCTACATTAACGTGCTTGGGTCCGACACTGAAATCCAAACAGTTTTTTGTCAAGGCCGGCAGAGCGGGGGAGGCTGAAGGCAATATATTAACTTGACTTACCTCCAATCTTCACAGTGAAGTCCTCTGCTACCATGCAGTTCCTCGCTGCCAGATCTCTGTGGACAAATTTGTTGGCGTTTAGGTACGCCATACCGTCTGCGATTTCTCCAGCCATCTGGATCATCTTTTTGAGTGGGGGTAAGACCTGGCTGGTGGCGTTCTGCGGTAGAGCAAGAGGCGGTGAGAAGAGAAACTCCATGAAAAGCACTATTCAGTCAGTCGACATATCACGCCTTTCTGCTTTAATCAGGTGAGCGAAACAAAGCGTAGCGTGGATGATGTATAAGGGTGGCAGAAGAAATTGTAAAAATTAAGAAAGAGAGCAGAGGTGTGTGTGTGCACACGTGGACAGGTTGCTTACTTCTTTGCGCAGGGAGCGCAGGTGGCTCTTGAGATCTCCGCGAGTCATCAGCTCCATAATCACTAAGGTTGGCTGTCCCTGAGAGACCACGCCAAGCAGCCGCACCTACATTAATCACAGCAGTGCAGAGGGGTCAGCTCTGATAAAACAAAACTGTGTAAAAAATACATGCTACATATAACTTCAAAATAGGTTTTGTTCACATAGGAAAATATGAAATATGCTCTGAAAAAAGTTTTTTTTTTTATTAAAAAAAAAAACAGCACAGAGTTCATTCAAATAGGCAAGTCAAGTTCAGCTGTGATCCAGCAGATTGATGATACACTTCTACAAATCTCTTATGGCACCTTTAACCTGCCTGCCTGCCTTTGGTGGATCATATTGCTGTTCACCCTAACTCGTGCCAAGAATACCCCAGAACAGAGCCATGCCACCAAATCCAAATTACTGCACATGTGAGTATTCACCTATTACAGTGGTCCTGACTCAAATCACTTTGTATTTTCCACTGATCAACACCATTCTCCCACAAAGCAAACCACAAAGGAAAAGTCTCTCTAGACTTTCTCACTGTTGGGTTTTGTGTGATTTCTTGTTAGAATAAAATGTTTGGCTTCCACTAAATCTAGATAACATTAAAGACCACCACATAGTGCATTCAGTAGCAATAAATTACTAGGCAGTAAGGTAGGTTATCTGACTCAGAAGCACACTAGGTTACAGTTCAGCTCCATCCTGCATTTGCAATTTAAATGTGGTTTTTTTTTTGTTGTTGTTGCTTGGAGCATTGTTAAAGATCTTTATCCTTAAAAAAAACAAAACAGTGACTAATAAAAAGGCTTTAACAACACATCCACGTTATGCAGTTACTGATGCTGTGATCACACTGAAGTGAGAATATACAGTATATCCTGGAGTCTGAACTGCAAGTCATGCTGCAGCTGTCGGAATAAAGACAACCACAGCGTACTTGAGTCTACGTCTGCGAGGATCAATTTCATCTCGTGACTGGATTCATTATGACAATACACTGGTTTATTATTAATAACCACATGAGCCAGATGGTAAGGATTTGATGACGCGTCCAACTTACCACATGGTGACAGTTGAACTCCTTCATGACAGAGGCCTCGTTCAAAAACTCAATTCGCTCCCTCATGCTGGCCGTCTCATTGACCGTCTTGATGGCCACTCTCGTTTCAGGTTCGTCCTTCACTACTCCCTTTGCGATGCCTTCGTACACCATGCCGAAGGATCCCTGGCCCAGTTCCCTGTGCATAGTGATCTTCTCCCTTGCTACCTCCCACTCATCTGGGACATACACTGGTGTGGCACAAGAGACAGCGGGTCACCATCAGAGTTTAAACACCCCACCCAAAAAACCCAATGAAAAATAGACCAAATATCCAACAGTCTTACTCTCAGTAGCACTGAGGTACTCTGGATTGACTGATGCATACAGGACGCCGTTCCCCAGTCTGTCACTGTTCCTGTTAACACAAACTCAGTTAGCCTGCAGGCAAGTCTGATTGCAGATGCTGTGTACAATTTTCAAGAGGAAGTCTACTCTTTACCACAGGGGAACGTTAATGAAAACAACACCTATTAGCGCTGATTAACATTACACTGATCATTAAGCTTCGTGAGCATAGCCAGGCAGAACAGCTTAATCAAAGAACTTTTGTCAGGCAGTTTTAAAAGCGCGTCTGCAAAAAGATACTTGCCTCTTTTTGTTCACATAGAAGAGGATGGTGATGAGGCCGGCGACAAAAATTGTCACAATGATGGGAATTATGATGACCACATACAACGTAACACCGTCATCACCTGTCAGAGAAGATAAAAACCGATGGTGTCAAGTCCTATTTATTTTTCATTCCTCTGCATTCCATGTAATTAGGGAGAAGTTCATTACGTTTAGGTGGAGACACATAGAAGAAAACACTTTCTGTCCAGGAGCCGTTTCCTGCCGGGGAAGTGGCACGCACTCGGGCGGAGTAGTTCCCCGAGCCAAGGTTGGTTAGTCGAGCTCCTTTGTACCGGCGGTAATCCTGTCGCGACACACACTTGTGCTTCTCAGGCTGGAAGAGAACAAGCACACGCTGGTTACTGCTTGGAAGAAAACATACCATCGGGTTAATGTTCTCATCTAATCAAAAATATGATTTCTTGTTTCTTATTTCAGGTGAATAAGGTTTGATGGCCTCCAATCAGCTTTCTATTGTGTAGAGTTTGTCATTTGTTTTTGGTTTTACTCAGTGTTTAAGCCCTGCGTGCATGAGCATGATTGGAGTCTGGTGCACGTTTTAAACATGTGAATCCTCCACTGAGCAAACATTGAGAGCCTTTTCAGTTGTTTACAATATTTGGAGAGTCATGGATTCCAGGCTTTTCAATGTTGAAAAAGGAAATGACCTATGATAATAAGCTATAATTACCCCAGTCCAGCTCACCTCATTACCCAGGCGGAACTTGATCTCATACATCAAGATGAGTCCATTGGGCATAACGGGCTCTGGCCAGTGCAGCACCACACACCCCTCGATTTTGTCACACCTCTCAAAAATCACCTTGCCCGGGATGTCATCCGCCTTGACTGGGGGAACAGGCACAACCACGTTAATATAAACAAGGATATTTAATTTCAGAAAAGGTGCCAGCACATTTCATTTTCCATTTTCCACACCACTATGTTACCAAAAACAGCAGGGATGCTGTGTAAATGAAAACAAAATCAACACAATCACTTGGAGTCATTTTAAATCCTCAATCTATTTGAAAACTGAGAGATTTTATATTTTATATTATATTTATATTTTAACCTTCTCCACCTTTATTTCCGAAAGGCTCAGCTTTGTTTTATACCCACTCATGGTACCGACCTCCTTCCAATTAACCCAACTAAGTGTGAGATGTTTGACCAAGTGTTTTTCAGCATTATACACCTTTTCCACTGTTTTTTGCCCGATATCCAAAAAACACTGGAAAAAGTAATATTTGTGACTTTTTCAGGTAAATAAAAGAAATGCACTCTCTTTATATTTGTCAGCATTACTGAAAACAGGTAGTTGAATGCAGGCTTTTTACTATGTTTCTAACCTGCAGGTTTGGTCCTGGAGAAGACGAAAGCTCCAGCGCTGCACTTCCCCACCACCTCGTTGCACGCATGGATATCAATGCGGTAGACGGTGAAGGGCCGCAGATTGGGGATCTCTAAATACTCTGTTGTGCTCTTGTCTTCAGTGAAGGGGAACTCTACGTTAGGAGGAATGCCATCTGTACTGTTATCCCCTGCGCCGAGAGTGGTATTCCCTCTGCCGCCCTCATAAAACAGTGTGTTGTTTGCTGTACCAGAAAGGTCTCTGCGCCGACGCTCTTGAGGTCTGAAATACAAAGACACAATTGAATATAAAACCTGTAGCACAGATCATTAAAATTCAATGAGCAGTGCTGGGGAAACAAAAGACAAAAAGGTGCATTGTATGTCCTGGAACCCTTATTGTAGCATGTCAGTGATGGTTTATACCTCCTGAAAAAATGTTTGCGCAAAGCTAAACATCTTTCATGGAAAGCACGGAGTGATTGCTACTCCCAGTTGTGCTGTGCTTATTAGGTCATTAGATCACTGAGAGGCTGACTGACGGAGAAATGCAAAAAACAGGCATTAACGCTAATGTCCAACATGCCCCTGATAAAAAAACAAACAAAAAAAACCAAAAGGTTAAACTCTGAAAAGTAATGTTTAGCCTTCAGTTCACTCAAAGTTCACATGATACTGGGTGGAGCTGCCAAGACCTGGACATCATCATAATTGAAAGCTAAGAGGCGATGACAGCTGTGACCTTAGCAGTAGGAGATACCACAGGACATCTTGTCCACCTGTGAAAGATGCAGGGTGGTCAATAAGACAGACAAAGAAAAAAAGCACTTGCTGTGACTGAGAAGATAAAAGCGTTACTGATGCCCTTTATAGAGCTCGTACACAGACATGTTTGGGGGTTGTCTAAAACCGAATGTGACAATGAACAAGTGACTGGGTTTAGACAGCTTAGCTCAGAGAAAAATAGCAACTTCAACTAAATGACTCAAACTGTACACTGAGAATTAGAACTGCAGCTACTTTTTTTAATAATTTGTTGTTTTTGTAATAATTAATAGATTCATTATTTGGTCTACAACACCATTAAAGAGTGTTTTTAACAATCTGACTAATAATTCAAATCCATAAAATCTACTTTTTGTCATTTTTTCATGAGATGAACAGAAACCACAAATCCACAGAAAAAAGAATTTGTTCCTATAGTCATGTGCAAAAATCTTGAGCCACCGCTTCTCTCTTTATAACGTTGGCATTTACATCAACACTGGCAAGTGGTGCAATACAGAAACAACTGTGTTTGTTGTTATAGATGTATGAATATATATATTCTTTATTTTATTTTTTATTCTTCTTTTGCACTGAGAGAATTGCACCTCAATTTCATTGCTGTAATGACAATAAAGATTCAGTTCTGATTTCTTTATATTTTGCTTCCAAGAAGCCAGACTTTCTTTTAATTTTTAGAAGTTACATTGAGTCGAAGTTCTTCATTCTTTCTAAAGGTCCTTCAAATTTTTTCTTTGGTATTTCTCTGATTTTCTGAACATTTTCAGAGAAACTTTTTGTTTTGTTTAGTTGTTAAGCAACTTAACACGAATCTCTGAATCATTAAATTGTTATAAAAGAACCCAGCTCGAGGGATGCAGCGGTGTTGTTCCTACGCATAGCAGATAACTTAGCAAAGACGTATTTCTTTAGTTGCCAAAGACAACAGGTCCAGGTGAGCAGCAATGGACAGAGGAGGTCAGGAGAGATGTGTCTGCAGCATTTCGGCCAGTGGTGTCGTGGATTTTGTCGAAATTGGTGGAATGATCAAGTTATGCAACACCATTTTGAACGTGTAAGAAAGGCAAAGAGTGATAATGATCCCAAACACGCTGCCAATGCAAGTAAAACCATACGGGATAGCAAAACACACAGTGCAACACAATCAGTCATGGACCGGCCTCCCCAAAAACCGGATCTCAAGATTGTTGCAGCTTGACAAAGAACAGAACAAAAAGCAACAAAAATTCTAAGAGATTGGAGAAGCCCGGAGAACTATTCATGAAGACGACTTTAAAAATTTATAAAGAAAGCTTGCATGTTTGCACATTTCAATAAACTTCTACACCTGTTTCCCCATTTTCCTAGCAAAATATAAAATTGAAGACTTTTACGCAGTACAGTAGACTACCATGTTAAACTAAGAAGCTAACTAAGCAAAAGCTCCAGAATTCATGTTTTATTTTACTTACTTTTGTTTTACTTTAAAACAAAAGTAAGTCTGTGAATTGGGGAATGGGAGTCGATTGCACTGCCTATGTGCGCTTCACTGAGTCCTCGGAGCAGGGAGCAATGGCCCTAACAAAATCACACGTAATTGTGGTCAGCTCAGTGCAGTGGCAGTAGCTATGCTGGAGGCTGGATGGGACTTCTTCTTTTACGCAGTACAGTAGACTACCATGTTAAACGAAGAAACTAACTAAGCGAAAGCTACAGAATGCGTGTTTTATTTTCAAGTCGACCTGCAGGAAGAGGAGTGCACAGACAAAGACAGAAATGTGGGAAAGGCAGTTTCACTGACATGTCAGCATTCCTCTCTGACAGCTAAAAGTGCTGCAGTCCAGCAAACCAAAGCCCAGCCTTTTAGTTATTACTGACTACATCACACATACATGAAAACTGACAACATGGTAGAGACTACAGACAAAAGACTCGTGACACTGATTCACTCTGACAGTAGCCGTTCATCAAAGCGAAGAAGAAGAAGAAGAAATGAGCAGGCGACAGACATTTTATGGCTTCGACTTTCTGTATGGGCGATAATGACAGTGAAATAAGAAAAAAGAAATCATCTGCTACCTGTCACATGCTTTGTAGCTGTAGTTACTACAGTGCCCTGACCTCACCTGCTAAAAAAGCTCTACCTTTATGCATCGGAATCCAGAGAGGAAAGCCGTGACTACACATTCACTCTATGGTTAGTGGGGCACATTGTAAGCAGTTGACACCTCATACAATACAACAGGATCATGGATAATAGTGAAACATCTGATAGAAGAAGAGGCAACTTCGGGGAGTCCTTTTCACCTCATCTGTATGTATTCATCATGAGGCAGCCCCCTTCCTTTTCCCCATAAATCAGTCTGCTTTCCTTATTTTCTACTTGTCTTCTACGGCTGATGGGGCTCTTCCCTCATTCATTTAGATTCCAGATGGATTCACTGTACATTTCCTGGCAGCTGCCTCGTTACAGGAAAGAAAAAAGAGGAAAAAAAAGCCTCGGACAAAGAGAGCATGCAAGGGAGGAGTAGCGTGAAGTGCCGAGTTGAGAAGGACAGAATGGAAAACATTTCCTTTTCTTTCTCTTTCTGTTTTCATGCACCCTCTTTTCCCTCACCCTGGGTCTAAACCCTGAACTTTTGAGAAAGAAAGAAAGAAAAAAACTCCCTCATTTTCCCTAGAGTGGTTTGTAATAATGTTGGCTGTGTTACATTGGAGAGGCTGTGCGTACACTGGCCGAGCTCCTCGCTGAGGGCCAGGGACCTGCCACCCGCCAGTTTCCTAGACACTTCTACTGAAACAAATCAGCACAGCCAGAGAGAAGAGGAGGTGTAGATAGATAACAGTTCAGCCAATTTTTAGCAGTTTTCCTCCAAAACATATTGATCAAATTCCATGAACAGCACTACGAAGTAAAAGGTCAGTGCTGTTCAATTAAATAAACTTCATCATTTTAACAAATGAATATCCATCAGTCTATCCTATCCTATCCGAGAACTGTGGGAGAGGAACACTGAAACATCCATAGCCACGAGCAAGTGAAATGATAACACAACACAGATGTCAGTCCTGTTGCGGGAAACAAAAGCATAAGCAGCTATTGTGTAGCCAAACGAGGCCCTTCAGACTCTTTAATCTCGTCTCTCTCCTGGGTTTGTTTGTTTTGTCCAAATTGCTGCCTGGTAGACCCCATCAACCCCTGTGCCACCGTTGCCGCGGCAATAAAAAAGCCACATGAGTGCTGAGGAGGCTTTGGAACCTACTCAGCATGTCTCCTTCATCTGCTCCACCCAACAAAAGGGCCGGCCTCAGCGGGCCAGCTCAGCGTCCGTTAGGTCCGTCCACACCCGTCATGCTCAGATCTTGTTCGCTCCACAGAGGAGCCATTAAACCCGTTCCACCACCTCAGTCTTCGCATTGACCCAACAAGGCAATTACATTCAGTGCTCTGATAGCTGTCTGCACTTGAAAGGGAGGTCACAGCCTATAAACGGTTTAAGGAGGCCACTGATGTGACATACCTTGCCAGAAAGATGGAATTGTGGAGGAAATTCTCAAAAACTTTCAAGAAGACACGGTCGTCCTTCTCACGGTCCTTCTCTTCTGCTGTCTTCTGGCAAGCACAGCACAGGACCTTTTCTGGCCCTGCTAGGTCTGACTTCGTGGGCTTTAAGTTCTCTTCCATGTCTGTGAGCTCCGACGCCGGGATTCGGATTGGGATCTTCAAGTCTGTTGAAGAAAATATGAAATGAAAAGCCAGGAAAAAAGAGTGTTTAGCAAGGGTGGGATTTAACCTTACCAATTACAATGGGCGGCTTTTTGTTTTGGCAAGCTAAAGCTCTTCCAGGTGATTGTCCTCTTTTAACTGTGCATTAAGATTAGTTTAAAAAACAAATAATGTTTGTACGATGCAAGAAAGACTGAGTGGCCTTCGCTAAGTAACTGGAAAGGTTTGAAAGGTCAGAGAATAAAGACATATTGGCTGCTTATTAGAATAAGGAGGAGTGCAGACCTTTGGAGCAGTAGTCATGTTGGTAGAGCTCCCTATCCTCAGCTTGACGCTGCCAGCGGACCAGGTAGTAAGTGAGATTGCCGTTGGGCAAAAGTGGAGGTGACCACTTCACCACCAGCTTTGTTGAGGAATTACCATATGCACGGGCATCTTTAGGCACAGACGGCACTGTACCAGGGGGAAAGACTAGATTATTTTATGTTGTTCATGTGTTTATATAGTTGCGCAACAATAATAATGTAAAACTGAAGCCAGAACCAAAAGTGATGGTCACACTTACACGATGGGTGTGTGCGAATATAAATGATGTCACTCTTTGCTCCAGTGGCATCTTTGTCGCTCTCTTGCAGGGTGATGGCCTTCACAAAAATAGCATACTGAGTCCAAGGCTTGAGGTGCTGAAGTCTGACATTTGGGTCATTGTTATTATCTTTAGGAAGATCCACATCCACCATGTGCCAGCTATTTGAGCCACAGCCATCCTGGCCATCAAACTCAGTGATGTTCTGGAAAGGACTGAAAAAAATACATAAAAAAAAAAAGAATTTCATTTAAAAAAAAAAAAGACAGTTGACATGGAAGTAAGACACTAAATTACTTTATGCTCAGAGGCTAATAATAAGCCTTTGTGTACTCACGATTCCTTGTAGTAAATGATGAAGCTGATAAGGGTTCCATTTTTGGGGGGCTGGTAGCGCTCCCATGTCAGATTGATCACATGGCTGGATGTGATGTTGGATTTGAATTTCAAGATATGGCTTTCACCTGGCCACCGGTGAGACATATGTATAAAGTAAAAACGTGCACACAAGCTGAATGACTGAATGAATGTGGACCAAAAAATTCACACGAATTTACTCACAATTGGCTCTTTCGCCATTGTTGCGGAAATCCCCTTCCTCTGGCTTCACAGCTATGCCAGTTTTATCCCACATCTTGTAGATCTCAGACATGCAGAGTTTGGGGTTCTGACGGAAGAATAGACGTCCACTGCTAATAGTCAGGTTGTGCTCAGTCCAGTTCCACAAGTACTTCAGATTCTGATTGTTGATGGCGGAGAATGAATACATGCTGGGAGAAAAAGATCAAAAGACTGTAAGAAGCACCTCGTATAGTCTCTATCAAAAAAACCAAACATAAAGTGTTTCACAGGATATAACGTTCCCCTAAATGTTGTTCAAGGAGCTTTTTTTTGCCACCTGGTGGTCCCACTAAGGACCAGCAGATGTGGATATTACGGCCTCGGCTTTGTGTGTCTCCCTGAAAACAGGCCTCCATTACTACAGACGAGGACATAAAACAGAAACTGTCACGCCAACACTTTTAGCTCTACCAGTCCAAGTACCACAGATGAACACCTCCAGAGGGAAAGGAATGCCTGCCACCCTCAACAGCATTCCTTGGTGAAACTTAACCCTGGAAGAAATGATAACAAGAAGGGCGACAGGCCCCATGACCCCTTTGGCCATCACTAAAAAAAACTTTCACTCGTATCTTGGACTAGTGTTAATATCACAGTGAAGACACTAATGGACTGTACATTTAACTTTGTTTAAATCTTACTAAAAATGTATTATCATCATTATTATCTTCATTAATATTATTATTAATTCATCTCTTCATTGACCTATTGTGCTAAATGACAGTAAAGTATTAATTTTTGCACTCTTCTGGAACAGATGATAATAATAATAATAATAATAATAATAATAATAATAATAATAATAAACTGAGTCATTTTATCTAGTTTCCCTTTAAGGTCACTTTCCATTTAAGCCAACGTTAGTCTGATTAGCTGCTTCTGGTGGGCGGGGTTTTATTACCATATTAATCACAGCTGTTCCCTCAGGCGTCATACAGAGCCAAGAGTGCAAAAAACCCCCCCAAAAACTGAGATTTTGTCTTTCAGGCATATTTGTATGGAAGTCTACCCCATTATTTGAAACTTATCATAGCAGCTCTCTTTAGACCAGCGAAGTCAAACTTATTTTAAAGGCCCGCATACAGCCTGATCCTAAGTGGGCCGGATGAGTGAAACTTGCATTCCTGTCAGTACAAAGAAGTTCATCTACACATCTAATCTCTGAGATATCTTAACGTAAGATATAGAGATGCAATTTCAACAGCACATCTTAGGTTTTATACATGATAAATAACAGATCCCAGAAAACGTTCTACTAGCTTGCTTCCTGTATTTCCTGTAAGCATTGTTTTTCTTGATTGATTAAACATTTCCATTTTTAAAACTGTGATTTCTATAGACAGTGGAAAAAAAGGAACATTTTCTGTCATTTAATTCTTTAACTAACACCTGACTATTCTGATAAGGTATAAATGGCTGTGGGGGAGGTCTTTATCGGCAGAAAAAGCCATAAAACGTATGAAAATCCAATAGTAAGTCAAAAAACTTATACTCTCCTTTGTATCCGGGCTGATTCTGGTGTTATGTTTAGCGCTCCTGCTTCAGACTGAGTTGTTTTAACTTGATTTGTATTTTTTAACTTCCTTGTCTGTAAAATATGTGTTGCCTTAGTAGCCACAGTCACTTATCTAGCCTTTGTGCATGACATTTTATAAGGATATTGCGATATCTGTGAAAAGTGTTGCAAAAAGCATTCTTATCAACAAGAGGTTAGTTTGACATCTATGGATGTAAAACAGTATGCTTGCTGCTTGGCTCCGATCCACTCTTGTCCTCTAATTCCCTCTCGCTTCGCACGTGCATGCTACCACAGCCTAAAAGTGCAGACGAGCCTTACTTGTCGATGAGTTCCTGCCCCTTGATGTAACGTAGGCTCTTGAGGAAGGACAGCGAGCCAAGAGCGTCGGAGTGTCGAATCTTAACATAGCCCGTCACTGTCTGGATCAATCCCATGAATCTCTCAAGCTCGGGGGCTATATTATCTGAGGACAAGAGATTTAACAAAGAAAAACAAAACACATTTGGTCACACAAAAATACAAAAAAGCTATAAAGAAAATCTATTGCTACTGTGATAACCAATTTGGTCTTCATCCAAATCCGCCAATGAACACATAACGGATTAATCTTTATCATATACAGGGATTACCTTTGAGCCACTCTATCAACTGAACAAATAAACAGCATTATAACATAATGTGATAATTGGGTTAGAGTGCAAAAAAGCACATGTGATGTTGCTCCACCCGGCCCTTCTGCTTTTACTATACCTCCAAACATAATAAATGTAGGGAAGTCAAGTGCAACAAGCTGTAGTATAGTGAGTGTAGACAGTAAAAGTTTACTATTAAGTACCATGTAGCAGATTCTGGCCAAGTTAAATAATTCACTGGCTCACACTCATCATTTTAAGTGTACAAAGCTATAGTTTGCTTAGCTGCAGCATAGCAGTGTAGTGAAGTCCACACCAAAATGTAAAGTACATGTGCTTCTAAGAGGAATGTTCATTGTACAGAGCTGCACTCACTTCCACGGCGGATATTGATGTCCAGATTGCCATCGATGACGGTGCAGTCCTGCAGGAACTCGGCAGCATTCACAGAATCGATGACAGTGGATCTGCAGACCTTATCACACGGGCCATTACAAGCACTGCATAGCATACTGTATAAAGAAGAAGCAAATATAGGGGTGAATGAGCAAGAAGAGCCATGTGAAAAACCTAAACAAAAAAACAAAGTGTCAGAAATACAGAGAAAAACTTTTTCTACCACGCCCTGAAAAAAATTTGCTCACTCCCCAGCTCCCAAGCATTCCAGAGAATTCATGCAAATAATTTCAGTGCATGATACAAGGTCACCTCTCACACGGAGAGTTTAATCTTTTATGGGCCCTTGACTGAACTCGGTTTTGTGAGAGAGTGACTCATTGTGTTGACCTCAGAGACAGAGCAGCAGTCGTACGGCCAAAAAAATATCCGGCAGCAGAAAGGCTGCATGGAAACTTTACAGACAGACAAAT